GGACCATGAGTGCCCGAAGGGCGTGAGGGGTGTGAGGGCCGTGAGGGCGGTGAGTGCGTGAGGCCGGTGTGTGGCGTGAGGGCCATGAGTGCGTAAGGGCGGTGAGTGCGAGGGGGGGCGTGAGGGTGGTGAGGGCGGTGAGTGGCGTGAGGGCGGTGAGTGGCGTGAGGGTTATGAGTGCGTGAGGGGCATGAGGGCGGTGAGTGCGTGAGGGCGGTAAGTGACGTGAGAGCCATGAGTGCGTGACGGCGGTGAGTGCGTGAGGGGCGTGAGGGCGGTGAGTGGCGTGAGGGCGGTGAGTGGCGTGAGGGCTATGAGTGCGTGAGGGGCGTGAGGGTGGTGAGTGGCGTGAGGGCCATGAGTGCGTGAGGGGCGTGAGGGGCATGAGGGCCATGAGTGCGTGAGGGCCATGAGTGTGTGAGGGGCGTGAGGTTCAGTGAGGGTGAGTGAAGGGCTGAAGGTGAGTGTGACTGTGAGGATGAGGGTGAGTGAGGGGCTGAAGGCGAGTGTAGCTGTGAGGGTGAGGGTGAGTGAGGGGCTTAGGTGAGTGTGGCTGTGAGGGTGAGGGTGAGTGAGGGCGACCTAAAATGCCGACCTCTGCTCGACAGTTACGTGCAATAGATATACGGTTACCGCTGTAAAAGGAAATACACAGCACGGAGTCTGGAGGGGTCGTATTACTTAAATAAAAGAAATATATATATATTGTAAGGAAACGATGTTACAAACTGATGGGGGTTTATTATTTACAGTGTGGTAGCTAGGTTGAGAGAAAGGCCGTTGGGAATCCAGCTAGTCGCGCGCTCTGCCCGAACGAACCTCTTCCTCCTCGTCTTCCCTCAGCCTCCGTGTTTTTCCCCAACGCACCGTAGATCTCATCTTCGTCACAATGCCCTCTTGGTAGAGATAGCCATCCTGGCGAAGCTGGTATTAGGTGTGGTCAGTAGGGGGGCAGTAGAGTTTAAGGCGGTTGACATGGGCCGTTTCACGAGAACGTCGGCGGCGATCGGCAGGTGGGGAGAGAGGCTCAATTTCGTAGTTTACAGGTGAGGTCTGACGAAGCACGCGATATGGGCCTGTGTAGTTTGACAACAGTTTCTCGGAGAGACCGGGTTGGCGTTGTGGAATCCACAAAAGGACGAGATCGCCGGGTGTGAAAGAAGTTGGGTGGGATGTATCATCGTGATGGCTTTTTTGCTGTCCTTGCAGGTGTGTCGTGTGTGCTCGTGCTAGCTGGTGGCATTGTTCAGCATGATTTCTGATTTCGGTGACTGGAAGGCATTCAGAAGGATCGGGTGAATAGGGTAACAAGCGATCTAACGTTGAAGAGACCTGCCTCCCGTAAATAAGGAAAAATGGTGAAAATTGAGTAGTGCTTTGAACGGCGGTATTGTAGGCGAAGGTTACGAACGGAAGAACCTTGTCCCAATTACGATGATCGGGGGAAATGTACATGGCCAGCATATCGGCAAGTGTTCGGTTGAAGCGCTCGGTCATGCCGTTGGTCTGCGGATGATATGGTGATGTTGTTCGATGGACGACACTGCAAGCTCGCAAGACCTCTTGGATGATTTTAGAGAGAAACACAGTTCCGCGGTCGCTGAGGAGTTCTTTCGGGGCACCATGACGGAGAACAACCTGGTTCAAGAGAAAGTTGGCCACATTTTACGCTGTGGCGGTAGGCAAAGCAGCAGTTTCAACATAACGCGTTAGGTGATCAATGGCGACGATGATCCAGCGATTTTTAGAGGAGGAGTGAGGAAGTGGGCCAAAAAGATATATTCCGACACGGTCGAATGGTTGTTCTGGGCACGGAATGGGTTGAAGCAGGCCTTGAGATGAATATAAAGGCCGCTTACGGCGTTGGCATGGGAGGCATGATTTCAAAAACTTTTGGACGCTTCCATAAAGCCCTGGCCAGTAGTACCGTGAGCGTACCCGATTGTAGGTCTTGAGTAGACCTCCGTGACCACATGTTGGGTCGTTGTGGAGGCATTCTAAAACCTCACGTCGCAAGTGACGGGGAATGGTAAGAAGCCAATGGCAGCCTTCGGGCGAATAGTTGCGCCGGTAGAGAAGGCCATTTCGAATGCGAAAATGCATGGACTGTCTTTGTAGTGAGCGGTTTGGGGAAGATGCAGGGTCTCTGACAACAGCCGAAATTTTAGATATCCAAGGATCTCTTGCTTGTTCTTGCTCCATGTCGTCAATGTTTAACGCCGATAAGGTGATAGTGTCTTCATCAGTGTCAGGTAGGTCTGGTGGTTCAGAGTGCAGAAGACATCTAGAGAGACCATCGGCGTCGCCATGTTTGCGGCCGGATTTGTACAGAACAACGAAGTCGTACTCTTGCAGCCGCAGCATCCATCGACCAAGGCGTCCCGTGAGATCTTTCAAAGATGACAGCCAGCAAAGCGCGTGGTGGTCGGTCACAACGTTGAATTTTCGGCCATAAAGATATGGACGGAACTTGGCAACTGCCCAGACGACTGCCAAGCATTCTTTTTCAGTTACGGTGTAATTTCGTTCTGGTTTTGTGAGAGCCCTGCTTGCATAGGCAACAACTTAGTCGCCGAAACCTCTCTTGGTTTGTGCGAGCACAGCCCCAACTCCAAAGCCGCTAGCATCAGTGCGAAGTTCTGTTGGGGCAGTGGGATCAAAATGCCGAAGTATCGGGGCAGATGTTAAAATATCTTTAAGCTGGTTGAAAGCAGCCTCGCACTGCGATGTCCAAGAAAATGGGTGTGAGGATTTCTTTAGAAGATCCTGCAGGGGTGCCGCTATGGATGCGAATCCGCGTACAAAACGTCGAAAATAGGAGCAAAGTCCAAGAAAACTTCGAATTTCTTTTTGGGTGGTTGGCCTGGGCATGTCAGAAACGGCCTGAATTTTGCTAGGGTCGGGTTGAACGCCTTCTTTGGACACGAGATGGCCAAGCACTTTAATTTGCCGCGCTGCAAATCGACATTTCTTTGCGTTGAGCTGAAGGCCGGCGTTGCTGAGACAGGACAATACGGCGGTTAATCTACACAGGTGCTACTGAAATGTGTTTGAAAATATTACTACGTCGTCTAAATAGCACAGGCATATTTTCCACTTGAGGCCGCGCAACACTGCATCCATCATACGTTCGAATGTTGCCGGCGTGTTGCATAAGCCGAAGGGCATGACGGTGAACTGGTACAGGCCATCGGGTGTTACGAAAGCTGTTTTTTCTTGGTCGTTGGAGGCCATAGGAATTTGCCAATAGCCTGAACGGAGGTTTAGACATGAAAAGTACTCTGCTCCCTGCAAGCAGTCGAGGGCATCGTCGATTCTTGGCATTGGGTATACATCTTTTCGGGTGATCTCGTTTAATCTTCGGTAGTCAACACAAAATCTGATGGTGCCATCCTTTTTCTTGACAAGGACGACTGGTGACGCCCATGGACTCGTAGAGGGCGTGACGACACCTTTGTCAATCATGTCGCTTACCTGGTTATCGATGACGCTTCGTTCAGACGCTGAAACTCGGTATGGGCGTTGACGCAGGGGATTCTCGTTGCCCGTATCGATGTGGTGAACTACCGACGTGGAACGTCCCAAGGTGGATTGCGGGCGATCAAATATGGAGCTAAACTTGCGTAGAACGGCAAGGAGTGAGGCCTTTAGGGACGAATCAAGGTGGTTATCTATAGTCGCTAACAAGAACTGGTCCTCCTCCTCTTGCTGCGGGGCTAATGGACAACAATATTCAGAAAAAGAATTATTGAAATCAAAAACTTCGATAGCTTCGTATGGCTCAGCGAAAGCAACGACTGTATTTGCAGGAAGCATTATTGAAAGAGAAGACATATTTAAAGCCATAAGGAATGCGGTGCCATTGTGAAGCTGTAGTAGAGAAAAAGGAACAAGGATACCTGTCTTACGAAAAAAAACTGCGGAAGGGGAGACCATTAGAGGAGACGCCGAGACTCTGGATGATTGAATCGGTAAAGGAACAGATGAAAATGGAGGAATTTGTACGTCATCAAGGAGGGATAATTTGATCGTGTGCACAGCAATGTTATCGTCGGGAAGATGGATTTGAGCGAAATCTACTTCTGCACGTCCACAGTCGATAACAGCGTTTGTTGCTTTTAAAAAGTCCCACCCAAGAATGACGTCGTGAGAGCAGGAAGACAACACCAGTAATTGGACACAGTAACACACTTCTTGAATGACAACACGTGCTGTACAGACACCGGTCGGGACAACATTTTGTGCTCCAATTGCTTTAAAGGGGCGACCGGAAAACGGGGTTGTGACTTTCTTCAACTTACGACAAAGTTCAGCCCGAAGAACTGACACTGCGGCACCGGTGTCAATTAATGCTTGAGTGCGCAAACCATCAATAACTATATCTATCATATTTCGGGTAACTGGACGAGGACTTAAGGATGTGAAAGGATTTGCAGCTCTCGCCTCTGGAACTGCTCCTAGCAGTTTCCCCCTGCAATGGGCGATGTAGTGCGTGGTCGCAGGGGAGACAGCGAACGCCGCCTGGGAGATGGAGATCTGCCTTGCCTTTGCCGTGGTTGTGGTCCAGTGTAATCTTGGTGTGAATACTGATCACTGCGTCGACCAGAACCGAAAGCTGGTCGATACTGCGCTTGCAGTGGGGCAGCGTAACTCTCAGAGTTTCCACGGCGACAAAAACGGGCGATATGCCCAACATAGCCACATGAAAACCAAATGGGACGATTTTCTGGCGTCCTCCATTGGTCAGCCCTGCGTGCTTGCCAGCGAGGAGGAGAAAATGGCGGCTGTGGTTGGAAGACCCGAGCAGGTATCGGGCGTGTTAGCATCTCGGCATACGTTGGCACCTGAGGCACTAGCGGCGGTGACCCGGCCGGCGGCATAACGGCGCAAGGAATCGCGGCTTTGACTTGATCCTCAATTAGCGCTCTGATCGAAGGCGAGATAAAGGACTCCGGAGGGGTCGAAGGCTTTCCTAATTGGCGAGCCACTTCGTCACGTACGATGTCTTGAATGACGCATCGGAGTTCGGCCCATTTGTCGACGGAGCCTTCGATTGCAGTTGTCAGGCTGGCCAGCTCTGCGGAAGGTTCCAGTTTGCGTTTGGCTGGCAAACGCTGAAGGCGCAGCTCAGAGAAGTTCTGGCAGATGTCGATGACTTCAGAGACAGTCGTTGGCGCTTTGACGACAAGGATCTGGAAAGCATCTTCGGCAATGCCTTTCATGATGTTCTTCAGTTTTTCATCTTCGGTCATGCGGGTGTCAACGCGCTTGCACAACTTCAGGACATCTTCGATGTAGCTAACGAAGCTTTCATCGTGCAGTTGGGTGCGTGATGCCAATGTCCTCTTCGCGACGAGCTTCCGCTGGGCAGGCTTCCCAAATACTTCCTGGATCTTTGCTTTGAACTGGGGCCAGGTCACCAGCTCTGACTCATGGTTGGTATACCATAGTTTTGCAACGTCGGTCAAATAAAAAATTACGTTATTGAGCTTCACGGTGTCATCCCATTTGTTGTGGAGGCTCACCCTTTCAACTGACTCCAACCAGTCCTCAATGTCATCGTCACCGATTCCGCTGAAGAGCTTTGGGTCCCGCTGACGGAGGGCTCCCGCGCATAGGATAGTGGTTGCACTTGCAACAGTAGGTGCCTGGCCAGGAGTGGTGTCCTGCGCTGCCTCGTCCGAGGCTCCTTGGCGTGATACCAATTGGCGTCGCATCGATTTCAGTGGTGTAGGATGCAGGAACACTTACGAGTGAAGTCCGGATAGTTGGGGAAACCCGCACCTCCACCAATTGTAAGGAAACGATGTTACAAACTGATGGGGGTTTATTATTTACAGTGTGGTAGCTAGGTTGAGAGAAAGGCCGTTGGGAATCCAGCTAGTCGCGCGCTCTGCCCGAACGAACCTCTTCCTCCTCGTCTTCCCTCAGCCTCCGTGTTTTTCCCCAACGCACCGTAGATCTCATCTTCGTCACAATATATATATATGATTTCCTTAATCTACTTATCAGAAGTTGCGTAAATTACATAAGGAGTCTTTAAGCGGTAAATAGGTTATTGTTTGATCTTATATGTTCTCGTACGTTTATTGGACACATTTATATATATTGTCTAACCATGGTGTGTTTCCTTCCTCCTCCTTTTTACTCTCGCTTCCCGCCTCTAAAGGATGGTTCACGCATTTGCGTTTAAGTGTGTTCGAGTCCGTTGCAACCACTTGTAAATGCTTATAACTCTAGAACACACTGGTTCACTGACGCCACCTATCAGGTAGTTCTGGAACTGCATGTAACGGTACTCCATGTTTCGCAGTATTTCTGAGACCAAATCTAAGCAGTATCCGCGAAACAAATGGTCGCTAATGACATATTGTTTTAATTATTTCAAGCCCGTGGTGAAAAAATAATGCGTAAAATATTTAGATATGTACTCTTAGCAAAAAGCTAGTAAAAATCTAGTTCCTGCAACAGTTACTACCTTTTTCTGACTGTTAGTACCTTTTAATAATTATTTAATACCTCTAACGCGCGATAGGTACCGCAGTAAAACGTTTGCAAATGCTGCAGTTATTACCTTTTCCTGAGCGTTACTATCTTTTTACAAGCCTTTTACTACCTCAAACAAGCTACAGGTAGTAACTGCAGCTGCTATACTGGGAAGCCAGGACATGACTGCTGGGAACCTACGCGGACACTGTTTCATACACTGTCGCAAATAATTACTGCGTCTACCGTTACTTCTTGGAAAGAGATACATTCCTTGGAAGCTTTACCAACAATACTGGAGAACAAAATTGCTGCAAAAGCAGCACCATATTTATAACGTCGTTCACAAACGAGGTGGTCACTGACCAACCGACTTCTTTCAAGTGATCAGTATACGAGACGCATGGGTAGCCATTGAATCCGTAAGTGATGACGTAATAACATGGTGCTCCGTTCCAAACAAACTGTTCCTAAGGTCGTTGTTATGAACAAATGTTGTTATGGCCCTACCTGAGGTTAGAAATTGTCTGATAGAAAAAATGTAAATATTGTCACGAGTGACAAGGTGAAACAAAGAGTAACTAGGGAAACTAAAACATTTAATGAGGCGAACTGGTGCCCAAAATAAAAAGGGAACAGAAGAAAAGAGAGCGTCGCGGCCGTCGGAGTCGGCGTAACAGCACAGTCGAACACTGGGGCGAAACTGACTGCGGCTTGCCACGCGGAACCCCTCATGTACACGCGTGGGCTTCTGGAATAATCGGCGTAGAAGTTTCGGCGTGTAAAACATTCTGACCTCGAACAAGCAACACGTACGGTTCTCGAATTTACCAGAACATTACGTTAGAGTCACCAAAAATGCGTCCCCACGGCCAAGAATTGAACCCTGGCTTTCTGCGTGGAAGGCCACGAGCGCGCTGTCTGCTTGGTCAGCTGCACTCGCGGCAATATGTCTTTGTAAGCATTATGTCTTCTTAATATCGAATAATGAAGACTTTTTTTATCGTCTCAGTACGGCAAAGCGATGACAAAATCCTCTAATCAAGTTTCACAACCGGTTTTGCCGTGCTAGCAGACAACACGATGACTCCGCAGGTTCAGTGGTTCTTTCTGAATGAGTACGCGAGTGCGTTCAATAAAGTTGGTGATGATGGACAAAACTTCTATTCTCGGGGCCAAATTTCTGTGGGATTTTGGAAGCGAAGTGTGCCCGTGCACAGCTTTCATCGACTCTCGAGGTGGGCGAGCGCGCCAACGACTTCCCGTGGAGCTCGCTTCCGCCATATTTGAGAAGGTGAAAACCACTGTGAAACCAAATCACGTACGAAGACGACGTGAAGTATATCGAGGTCTGCGTTTACATGTATACGACAATAGTGTATCGAATCGAGATTTGACTATTTGGATTGGTAGTATATAGATGGGTAGAAGAGGACGAGGTAGAGAGACATCCCGTCTCTCTACCGCGTGTGATTGCTCTCTACGCGTTAGGATGCGCTACGATCGCATTCATGTAAACACAGCCAGTGTCGAAGTGCAGGCCAGCACAAGATTCAAGGTCGTCAAGAGAACCTGAGTGAGTCGGCAAGGCTCATGCTCGAATCCTTATCTAATGTACTCGGCATTTCAAACATTCGAGCTAGAATGTTCGAGACTGACTAGGTAAGGTAAGGACACCCTGACCTCCTTATCTTTTACATTCAGGGTAAGAGTAAACACGAATCTTTTAGAATGAATAAATAAATGTTTATTACAGAAATTTATACCGAGCCCTCTTAACTTAAGCCATTTGGGCCCGAACTTTCTAGATGCAAAGAGAAGCGCTCCTTCTCGATCATGCAACCGGTAATATCACCTGATGTTTTTTTTCCAGCGCCTTCGCTATTTGGGGTCTTACTTAAAACTGAAGAATCAGTAGGATCTTTTTTTTTTCGATGTGACGATTACAAGCAGGTACAAAACACACACCCAGACTGCGAGCCTGACAAATGAAGTTTGGGGCCTGAGACCGCTCATGTTACACTTCGTTTCAGCTTCGGTCCGAGCGCGGCCGATGTTATGAGCCGAAGGACCAATCAAACAGCGAAAGAGGCACAACGTCATGGCGTGCTTTCTGCAGTTGATAGGACCAGCCGGTATTCGCCATCTCTCTGTGCGCGCTGCTCCGCCGGCTATCCTACCAAGCGCAGAGAGCACGCCATAACGCTGCGCTTTTTGCGCTGTTTGATTGGCCCTTCGGCTCATAACATCGGCCGTGCTTGGACCGAAGCTGAAACGAAGTATAGTCAAAATAATTGCTCTCTCAATACAACGCGCGTCAACTGCAAAATAAAAAAGAGGTCCCGACGCTGCTTTTATATCCTGTCCTAATCAGATGCTTTTTCTCGCTGCATTTTTAGCAAACCTTCATGCGTGTGATCATTTTCGTCAGACGGTGTCGTATCGCACGCAAATACAAGTCCTGTTCATAAACCTGGCAAATTTCTTAGGCCTGCCATGTTCCAAATGATTGCAGACGGCATACTTCAGTCAATCTGTGTGCGCTCGTCGTAAGTTTGTCGTCTGCAGCAGGTAGCTCGAGACGTCTCGAGGACAGGAAGTTATCCTCGCAAATATTTCAGAAACTGCCGTTTCTCGGCAAATTTCATTCGTGGTATGTATGACATTTAGACTGCCTACATATAATATTTTCAGTTGTTTAAATTTGACGTCAGGTTTTGGACCAATTGTTCTTTCGAGGCGAAATCCAGTCCCATATATTCGTCCATACAACGCCCCTGGCATGGTTTGTTTGAAGCTGTGACGTCACACTTACGGGGACAATTCGGAGCAGCGAATGGATTAGCGTGTCGTCGCGTGTGTGTCGTGCGTGTGTTTCATAGCTGTTCGAATTCCTTCTCTGTGTTAAATTTATAATACGCTTACAAATTAACATGGGAGCAGCGTGGAAAAAAATTTAGCCCAGCCGTTGCAATTTATTTGCCTATTTTGATTTTGAGGTAGACAAGCGTCACCTGGGTCTTGTGAGAGTTAATGCCAGTCACTAGCTAAAGGTATTGAAGGATACTATATTGGTTAGTAACCATTCCTAGCTTGACCGTTAATGCCTGCGGTTACTAGGTGCCTAGTAACATATGTACTAGTAAATACCACTAGCATTTTCTTATTTAAGAGTGTTCGGAGATTGAAAGTGTTCCAGTGCTACCTAATAGATTGCGCCTCCGTGCCGGTGTGTTCTTCTTGTAAGCGGTAACAAACTAAAAACAAAAGAAAGGAAAACAAACGCACACGTGAACACTGAAACGCAAGTACGTAAACTCCGGGAGGTGTCAGCATCTCCTAGGTAAACAAGCCGTAGCGCTGAATTGTCGGCGTCACTTAAGGAACGCCACCGCGGTACAAAATCTGAACATCACTGCTGCGTCGCCGTTTGGCACAAATTCGTGTTCGCATTGGCTGAACACGAGTCTCACTTGAACGGTCACGTATTAGCATTCGTGTCTATAGGCCTTTGCATCACTTATCACTCGGGTGAAAAATGCTCAGTCACTGCGCTGTTGACGCATGCGCAGCGTCTGCTGTACAGCACAATAGAGCTACAGCGCGTGCGCATTGGACGTTCCACAGCCAGGCAGACACAGATGGCAGTGCGCAGAAGGCGATTTTCGCAAATGTCGATAGTCTGCGCCCCGCATTGGCCTCCTTTAGATAACGACCGAAAATTCCGCGCTACGGATTTTTTATCGCGAAGTTAAAACATATCCATACTCCGTTTCATACCGAGTCCGATCGCAACTAATGTTAAGATCCGATGTAGCCAATCAAGCTGTGCCAAAGGCCAATCGTAATGGCGCTGTCATACCTGTGCGTTTGCTATCGCGTGCTACACTTATCGCGCACAATTAATGCTGCGTGATCTGGCGCGTTTTCTCGTGCCTGATTGATCTAACCGCTGATAGCAAACGCACCAAAACGTATATGGCCATGATAATAACACTTTTAGCTTCGATTGATTGACTCTATTTAAACCTAGCGTTATATAGATGCGGCCGGACTTGATGCGAAACGAAGTGTATAGGACTTTTGAACTATTACAAGGTATCTTGAAAAGCGTTGTGTCAGTGTCAAGGGCCGCCCACATTAGCGAGAAAACGCGGCCGGCGCGCCGATAAATCGGTCAAGCGGGAAGATAAAGGGCGTGTCTCTGCACGCGCTCGTGGCGCTGACTGTG